ATATATATATATAAATTATGTACTATATATATACAGTAATATATGTATATTGAACAATATATATTGATGTGTATATACGACAAATAATTATATACCTACTGAAATAAATTATTCGCTTTATAATAAATAAAATATTATTTGCTTATGTATATAGAAACGACGATATATGATATCATTATAAAGTGTGTTATTATATCAATAAAATATTTAATATTAATTTCGTTTTGAACTGTTTATCAAGTATTTGCAACAGTGGGTGAGCAGGTGTTTTTCGCCGTGGATGCCGTTGCCGTTGGCGACCCGGTGCTGGTGCTGGTGGTGGTTGTGGTGGCCGTTCTCGTCCGACTTGTGCGACGATATCTCGCGCGTGTACACGTCCAGGCCGTACTGTCCCTCTTCCGGAAACCCGATCAGAAAAGTGATGAAATCGTCCACGATCGTGTGCGATATATACTTGGACAGCCGTTTCTCCTCCACGCCGTTCTTGTGCAGCGTGGCCATGAAATCYGTCAGCGGCTTCGACATTCGGAACTGGATTTCCAGCTCCCGGCCGGCGAACACAAGTGGATCCTGCGCAGAGACGACGAGATTATACAATAMAAATAAACGTATTTTTATAAGTAAAAGTTCTATTCTAAAACGATACAAGTGGGCTAATATAAAATTGAGTTTTAATCACAATTTATTGGTGAATTTCTAGGCGTTTTAAATTTTTTAATAACATCCTATTTATACTATACAAAATATCTATATATACAGACTTCGGTTTTGAATTTCCTAATCGAAAACAGAATATACCCTTCTGAATTCGTGTTAAATATTGAATAAATAGCATTTTATTAATAAAAAATATAGATTAGCTGTGTATAGCAGGAATATTGGATTAAAACTTTTGAGGCGTACACTACCTGGGCATCATTTTACTTCGCTCGTAAAAAACGCATAATAATAATATAATGGTTATTAATGAACATTTGTTCAATATTTTAATGTCTCAATATTCAATATCTAACATTACACGAAAAGTGTTATGCTATACTGGTCAAGGAAATTCATAAAAAAATATAAGTACTGTCATTCGTAAAATTTAAAATATAGGTATATATAGGTATATATATATATATCAAGCCATATAGCGTATGCTATATAACTATATAAGCATACACAAATCTAATAAATATATGGTATACTCTGTACTGATCCCAAACAATCGTTAAAGTGTACTGCTGCACGTGCTTTGCATACCTGATGTGATATGGGTATGAGGCCAAAGAGTCGAGTGGCTTTTGTAGGTCCCCACTCGCCGCTAGCGCAATCCGGCAACGGTACCATGACGGTTTGCAATTCTTCACAAATGATTTTGAACTTGCATACGCTCTTAAACTTCATCGGTTCTCCGGTCAGATACTCCTTGGGCGTCACCGAATTGGCGAATATGTCCAACAAGAACGCACCACTATTGGGCGCGTGTACGCGGAATGACACGATATTGCCCAGGACAGACTTGAACCATATACAAACGTATATTATAATATTATATATAATGAACAACGTTAAACACGCAATATAATGATCATACGATATAATGATATTATGTTAAACAAATATACAATATAAATTCAACTAGTTCCATTAAATACCTAGATCATATTTAAGGGAACGAGAGGAATACAATTCGCATATAATCAAATAATAGACGTATTATACAACGAAATTCGAGATCGTTACATTGTGAGTAGTGAGTTTATGACCTAAATGGCTAAATCGCCTAATACCTATATACGTATACAACATAAACAA